CTTATTTGCAAATGACTGACCGTAATCCATCATCCAATGGCCGATCTACATGTAAATTATAGAAGTGGGGTTTGCGTATTTTGGGAACTCCTCCATTTTGGTTAAATTCTGGTAAAACGTCACTCCCCAAAAGTGAATTTGTATAAATTTAGAACAGCAAATTGGGAGAAAATGTACTTTTTAGACTTTTGTACCTGAATTTTCGGTAACCGGCCACACAAATTAACACTCACACAGTCACACCCTAACATTATGAACATACCACACTTGAAACTTTGCAGTAGTAGTCTCCTTAACCTCATTCTAAGTGGTCACTTTATTTCCCGGTACAAATACCGGTACATGTAGACTGGTTCCTGCTCCCTAATGGTACATAATACACATGTACATGTACATGTAATTAACAGATTATAGGTGCCAAAGATGCCTGGAGATACATGTACACATGTGTAGGGATGGGGACTGGTAAATATTTGCAGTTTGCCTCTAAAAGAGATCAGGTAGGCATACTACTCTTCACAATGGGAAGGAGGTGGCTCCCCTCACTTGTCTTAACCAATTACAGATTGGCTTTCTAATGGAAAATTGTCGCAACCAATCAGTGACTTTCTGCCAAACCAGCTTGGGCACTCACCATATTTATTTTCAGTGTGCATGGTTTGTGTTGCTGTCATTGTTTTTACCCCGTAATTTTCCTCAATAATCAAAGCCCTGCCCTCTTCCAACAAAATGAATGCTGCTGTTATTCAACTCGGGGTGTCATTGTAAATCTACCCTGGCAATTACAAAAGTTAAGAAGTCATCTTCCATCCTATTATAGGAGGGGAGGGGGTCTGGAGATACACAAACCCTATGGAGGTAACCCCCTCTCCAGTCTACCACTGCATGAATAGTTTTGGGGGTAGGATCATGTCACTTATTACATTCGAATACGGTCTTTCAGCCACTAATTTTATTGTTTAAGCGCCAGTCAAGAAGTAGACTTTGTGCCAAGTCGTTAATTGGTTTGGTAAAAACTGTTCTTCAAAGTGCAATAGTTACATGTACATGTATGCCATCTACATGTTAGAAATGTATCTGACCTTTGCATGCGGAAGGCGGTTGCCTCGTCCCCAACTACCCAATGATCGACCATTTATTGACTAATTTGGATGATTCATTTTCAGTCTTGTACACATACATTGTAACAACATATGGTACTTGTAATTGCTCCGGGGGGCACTTTGATTGGTCTGGATTCCAGAGGGTATACATTACAGTTAGTGATAAGCAATCTTATGCAGCACTGCCTCTGGAGTGTCATTAATTGATCTTTCTACACATACCATAAAACATGTGGATCGGAAATGCAGTGAGAGAAGATACATGTACATGTACCTGTAGTCAGTGGAACCCCATTCCATTGAGACAGCGGAGATATATGCACATAAAACCTGAACAGCTACCTGGTACACACTTTAAGTACCAGTAATATAATGTCCTCAATGTTTTGGATACATACATGTACACGTACATGTACAACTCATGTACATGTACATTTTAATTCATCAACGTCCATCCTTCACCATCCTTAAGCACCATCCAATATTGAAAACGGTATGACTACATTTGGTTGACTATAACTGCTCTGAACTACAACACTGCCGAGTGCAGTGGGCATGACTTACCGCATAGCTCCAAGCGTGGCAAGCGGTAGTTTTAAGCATGATGAATTACTTTCATCATACTCTCTGAAGTTTGTGTGAAATTTAGAGTTGTATTTTTGTGGACTCTAACCCTTGCGCTTTACAGTCACTGACCAGATCATCGTCAGACACGTATACGAAGTACAAGTTACATGTACATACGTGTACATGCATACATACACTGTACATGTTGTGTTCATTTTTTCACCTGTAACCCAAATTTCATTGTGCATCTACGTGTATGCTGTGTTTCGCACCACAACATGCACCATTTTCCGTAGAAGGAAATTTTAGTATGGCAGGAGACACACATTCCATTTTGTTAGATGGGCGTTGCACGAAGCACGAGTCTAAATTGATAAACAGAAGATTAGACTTTCACTTAAGAAAAGGTATATAAGGGAAAGGATGTGTGATGGAACAGTATCTGGCTGGAGCCTGGGTCTGATAAAGGACCATGAAGGTTTTATTTTATATAACAGGTTTCGCCCTTACCCAACGTATATCAATAAGCACTGTATGCTCAGTGCTTGTCCGAGAGCTTGCGAAAAAAACCTCACAAGTTTACTCGGGTGGGACTAGAACCCACGACCTCCTGCTTACTAGTGCAGATGTCTTAACCACTCGACCACCGAGCTTGCCGGGGTCGGCTGGCCGGTCCAAGTCAAATTAAGCAGCAGGTACCGCAAACTATTTTTTCAAGATGTATTTTTGCGTTGGGGAGATGTTAATTTTATATAACAGGTTTTGCCCTTGCCCAACGTATATCAATAAGCACTGAGCATACAGTGCTTGTTGATATACGTTGGGTAAGGGCAAAACCTGTTATATAAAATTAACATCTCCCCAACGCAAAAATACATCTTGAAAAAAAAAGGACCATGAAGGCATGGTCCAAACCAAGTTTGATGTATCTACTGGAAATGATGATGAAATGATAGTGAATGAAATTAGAAAGAAGTGTGTTTTCATTAAGCAAATACATGCACATGTATGTACATGTACGTAACTCCTGATACGGTACCAGTGGTGTAGAGTGGAGCTATGAACTTCGTAAAACTAGTAGGCCTTTTCACTATTGAAAGTTGAAACCGAAAGTTGAAGCAAGATTTCGAAGGTTTCTGTGAGATAAACACAGCAGATGAATGCACACGAGTCTGTGTTGGACTTTCATTTTTATCTGCATTCTGCAGAAATTTTCATCCAATAAAAATCAGAATCTTTCTCAAAACATACAACATGAAGCCACTGTGATGATTGAAAAAACTTCAAAATTTTGCATTTTCACATACATGCAAAAAAAGAAAAATTCTTTGATTTGTTGATGTCTGCTGCAATCTTGCAGGTACCGTTATGTGCTGAGCTGTACATCTTGAAATTATAACGGTTGAATTGAATCGTGTGTGTATGGAAGCACAGTTGAAACTACGAAAAGGTGGAAATGTTTTGACATTTAGAGTATATCTATATGTAGCATGTTGCTGGTGGATAAGGCCAATCCAAAGAGGTCTGCTTCCCACAACATGGCACCTGAAAACAGGATACCTGCACATGTGTGGGTACATGTAGGTTTTGGGGACACTTTCTTAAATACCGTTACTTGTTCATAGCAGTGCAGCTAAGGATTTACTGGATAAAAAAAGGGGGGGTCGGGTTGCATTTCTCTCTCATGAAATGAACAACATGTCCAAGGGTACATGTATTTAGTTGCTTGCATTGAATATATTCTGGTTGAACCAGTTTGTAATAGCTCCATGGTTCAACAGCAGGGGGCTCCTTTTACCCGTGCATAGGGCAGACAGTAAATCAAGCATTTGCATATATATCACAAGGACCTCAAGTACATTTTCTGTACATGTACATGTACATTGTACATTGTAACTGTTTTAAATAGATAAATACACATGTACACTGTACACTGTTCATGTACAAACTGTTCATGTACATGTACAGTACCTGGCCTGGTACACAGTGCCCTCAGACCTCTCCTTGAACCCTGAATGACAGGATCCATACATACATGTACAGTCGTACACTGTACATACATGTACATGCACATACAGATGATGTACATACATTGTCCATTCAGAGAGGATTCTTCAGTCTTTCACTCAATTGAAAACACAACAATTTACACTGGTACAATTGCACATGTACATGTACAAAGACTTCATCAAACAACATACTTTTCCATGATGTATGTAGGCATATTCACACTTACATGTATTTGGGACTGTCAAATTACTGATAAATTTACTGAAAACTGCATGCAGATTCAGACAAACTAGAATCTGTGTTTTAAGTTGTAAACACTAACTGATGTATTTGAATCACTTTTCAAACTCCCAAACAGCTGAATTTCAAAGAAGAATAAGACACATATCGGTACATGTATTGATATGAAGGCGCCTTATGTAGATGTATATTTGTGTATACCAGTACGTGTAGTGTAGGCTGGGCTTAGGCTCTTGTTACAGGGGTATACACAGGGGGAACTACAGATATTATGCCCTTGAAGGCCTTCATATTTGGGCATAATATGTGTTCGTAAAACCGATGCCCTTATATGTACAATGTACAGTACATGGGAACAGCATTCCTGTGTGTGTATATACTGTACATGTACAGTGTAATTGTACTTTTTTCAATTAATGAACTTGTTTCAAATTGTTTGTAATGAACTGTTAATTATCGAGGTTGAGACCGCAAAACCAGAATACTATGCACTCCCGGGCTACATGTACATTTCAGGGTTTTTGTTTCATCGTTTGAATGCAGTGTTGTACATGTACTTTTGTTGGACATCTGTTTGATAAAAGATTGAATCTACTCATACTATGTAATGCATTTTATGTTCTCAATCTGTTACTATACTGTGCAGTTTTTAATTTTTCAATATCTGATAATGTTTAATAAATTCTAAGGTAAATAACGTTTGATATTTCAAGATCTTAAATGCCGTGTGATGTTCCGCTGGCAATTTGCCAAGCTTTGCCAGACACTTCTTCACAACAATCAGTACTTGCCTAACTGCATTGAATTGTTTCCATGCTGAGCAGTGACTCAGCATCATCGTCACAAGGAGATGTTGCCAGAAGAGTTTTTTCTGTTCATTGTTGTTCTGGGAAAACCTTGGCACGTGGCCGTGCTGATTGGTGAGCACTGCAGGTGACTTTGCTGGGGAGATTTTGCCCCCAGAATCTCTCGGGAAGGATGGTGACGTCAACATCAAGACTCCTGCATGAGCCAGTGCAGTTGAGGGAGATTCAATAGATGTCACACGGGAGCTTTTTCCAGCATGATGCATCACGGCTTATGCATGCAGTGTTTACAAATTATGCTGCATTTTCATGTACAGTACCTGCACCGGTAGCTATACCTTGGCGTAAACGTACAAGGACCACTGTCCGTAAGCTGTAAGGAGAAAGTTTTTGTCCTCATGCAATTCATATGTCGGTTGCTGAAATTCTTCCCTTTTTCCACCCGGTAAGTGGTGTTTTTGATTAAACGCTTCTAAGTTGAAATTTGGCTGTCTCGTGAAGGACAAAGCACTTCTTCCAGTTAGCACTTCCAAGAACCTGTGAAGTGAACAACATTTTTTATTTGTATACTTCAAAGTTTGTTTATTTTGTTCGTTTTATTTTTCAAGGAGAATTTTTAAAAGTAACCCAGAGGGCCTGTTGCCAGAATGCTGACAAAACAGAAAACTACCAAAGTACATGTACATTTGTTACCGTACATATACGCATGGATGTGTTCATTTGTACTTTAGGTACAATGTACATGTACGGTGAACATGCAGAGTGTTGAGTAGTCTTGTTCTTATTCATTGGAAAAAGATTGACTTGTTTACATGGTGTGATGTGAGTTAATGGTATGACTCCTAAAGTCTGCATGTACATCACGTCTACATTTACATTGTGCCGTGTACACACACACACACACTACCAGTAGGACTGGCAGTGTGAAGTGTATGTGTAGTAGTTGGATATGTCTCTGGAAAGCATGTGGCAAAATTAAAGCGCATTGTCTTGAAATGTTTATTTTATGGATATTTAGTCATGCGGAAGGTGCCATAACAATCTCTTCAAAAGCGTAACACTGTATGTGCAATACATGTAATGTATGGTACCACATGTAGACATGTGCTTGTCTTTTAATCACAGGTGCTGCACAAGGCCTACAAATGTAAATTATACAAGTGTAGCCTCTACATGCACATTAATGCAGGCAAACAGCCAGTGCCATGCTTTTGTTACTGATTGCCGTTTTTGACTGTTTTCTTGTCTTCTGTTGTACCATACGGTACATGTACTGGTGCATATCTAACATTCTGTTTCTTGTATTGTGCAATGCAAAGTAAAATGTCGTAAATTGCCTTTTTTTTTCTTCAGGAATTGGGATATACATTGCACACACACACATCGGTACCTGCACATTCACCGGTAACTGCACGACCTGTACATGCGAGAATGGCTATCCATTAGGCTTGTTTTATACACAATTTGCATATTCAAATTAATAAAATCAGTGTTTCCATACATGTAACTGTACACATTTTAAATGTGTGGAATCATTTGTCCAATCAGCACCTCACAGCTGGCTGGAGTCCAATCAGAATCACGAATAGGGCCCCCCTTACGTGTTTGTACGTGTAGATCTACAGGGTATCCACTCGATCAGCACCCAGGAAGTTTCAGTTATGCCCAGCTCACTTTCTTTCACAGCAATCTAATTTCTTTGTGTGTGCATTTGGAGGGGGGAAATCACCAATTGGCTGTAGTCTTTTGTTTGGTCATTTATGAGGACAAGCATGACCCGAGTCAGGCCAGCCAGTGCCTGTGCCTGTCGCCAATCTCTTTGTCTCATTGAGTGGTGGACTCTGTCATTTATCATATATCCATCCCTTCATGTATTCACCCATGTTCATTGTCCACTTAAAACGGAGCATCCAATCATTTATTTCATAGTGTGTGTTTCGATCCTGTGGCCTGTGTTGACAAGTGTATTGAGCCATCGTGTGCTTGTTCTGTGGACATCAGTTCTATTGATTGGTGGATGGGAGCTTTTATTGGTTTGTGTGCGCTATTGTCATGTGCCAGACTGTTGTGACGTACGGCCCTGCTCAATCCTTTTAATAGCCCTCCAGTTTAGTGTTATGTGTCAGTATCGTACATCATATTATGGTGAGTACATCCACTTACACATTCACCTGTACCTTTATTTTCCTCGTAATCACTTCACTCCCTGTTTCACTAACCTGCATGTTCATGTATTATACATGTACGTATTCACTCTATTCAGTGTATCACTTTTCAGTTTCTAAGTTCCACTTACTGTTGTCAGACAGAATTGGTTATTTACATTTTTTAATTGTAGAAGTCTGTCTTCTGTCACCAAGTGCGGTGGGCAAAATCATGTACACGTGTACTGTACATGCATAAACATACGCCTGTATACATGTACTTGTACACATGAACATGTATACCGCTATACATGTACATATATGCATTATGTAGGCCTACATGTACATATACACTGTACAAGTACATGTATTTGCAGCTGTTTGGGATAGTGCTGGTACATGTATATTCTTCAGGTACATGTACATGTATGTGCCAGTCTCAAAGCCCGAAGCAAGCAGATGCGCATGCTGCACATTACTGCAGATACCTCTACTCATTCATAGGCTTGGGTGATAATCTCAATACATTTAACTTATTTGCAAATCTGCTTGGCAACTTGACACATTGTAATGTTTGCCAAACAGTGATGGTGTGTATTCTTAACATTACTGATGACTCTAAGTGGTTATTTGTCTATTTCTAATGACAGTAAAGTGTGCAGTCTTTTTTCCCCGTTAAATTTAAATTCACCTTCACTTATTGTGTTCCTGTGTACTTATTGCTACATGTAGGTGTGTTTGTTTATTGATTCTAGTTTGAGACTCAAGAACTTGTCTTTTTTGTATCCAGTCCACCAAACATGCCACCAGTATATTCAGTCTGGCAAGATAAAAAAGTTCAAGGTGAGGTTTGTGGAATGGTGGCTTGTAATGATTGTTGTCGTCCCTTGCTGATGTTTTGTCAGCAGTGTTTTTGTCTTTGGCATTGTGTGTGAACAAAGAGAAGCCTTCAAAGTGTATTCAATGTGTCTTTCCACATGTACGGGTAAGCACATTCCCTTCAGACCATTGAAAGACAGGTTTTGCATTTGGCGAAAGCGTGTCATACCTTTACGTACACATGCTGGTGAGTTTTGGAGTGTTGATATACACCGTTTGTCTCCTGTGCACATGTACATGTACGGTTTATGTAAATATTTTGATTTGCTCAGAGAGTGGACGAGTGCTGTGGTAGTCAGTGAATTGTTTCAGTTGGCAGTAAAAGTTATGGGCATCTACATGGATCGTATTGCTCTTTTCTTCCATTCTTGATGTACCCATCCGATAGATGGATTCAGCCATGGTAAAGTCTTGTCTCATTCCTATATATCTGATGTGTGTGTAGTCCTTGTCCTTGTCAGAGCTAGGTCGGGGTACAAAAGCTTCTAGCTTCAGCCACTTACCCAGATGTTGCCCTCTGTTTTTGTGCTCAAGTGTTAATATTATTTGTTCTGTGTAATAATTCAATTGTTTAGATGCATTTTGAATCTAAATACGTGCATTCGTGTCGTAAGTATAGCAATGTGCTACCTATGTGTCTTTGTAGGCCAATGTTGAAATAAATGTTTAATTTAAAAAAAAAAAGTTGAAACAAAGCAACTCTACTAGTTATATTTACATAATGTATCAGATTTCTTGTATACATTTCATATGAATGCCACATGTTCTGTGCCTCATGTACCAGTACATATTGTGTATGGATATATCCTCCATACCCTGCATTACAAGGTACACATTTTATTTTGCGCTTGGCAGACGGGTGTGTTTTTAACACATTTGGCACATTTGGCACCACACAATCACGAACCATCATCATTAATGAGCATGATCTCGAGACGAATTGCTGTCATCAACAAGCCATTATCACAGGAAGGTCTTGGATATTTTGATTTCATGGGCAACAACAGACTATGACAATACATTGGATAGGATATATGCATTATTCATATCGCTGGTGTTTATGTACCATGTTTTGAAACTGAAACATTAGCCAATCCAAATTCTAAGATGTTCAGAGCCAAGTACACGCAAAATGTAACAAACACAACTGACTGAAAATTTGAGCCAATTCCAATTTTTTCATCTGAGTTACGGTAAGTTGCATGCCACACATACCACAGCGTCATGACATGTCATGACATGTCATGTCTCTACTTGCTTTAGCACTACGAATTTGGCTTATTATTCTATCGAACTGGCAGTTGATATCACTAATGCTCATCAGGTAGCTGAGTGTCGGTGGTTGTCATAATAAAGTCAGTGTGCATTTATCTGGAATGCTTGTAACCACCTACATGTAAATATGGCGTTTTACATGAAAATGGCATTATTAGGTCCTCTGGAAAGTGTGGGGAAAAATAATGAAAACAGAAGCCCAGCTGAATGAAATATCCAAGACTTTCATTCAATGCCAGAAATGAACTGAAATGACTATAGCACCCTCTGTTGGCCAAATTAATCCATTTCAGCTGAAAGCATTGGAACCAAGACTGCCTTTGCCAGGCAGCAGACAAGTTACTGGTACACAAAGTGGAGAATTTTTTTGTCAATCCCTTGTTTTTTGTCATGATGTGCACAACAGGCAGATCCTCGTACCCTGGGCTACAGAATGATGCAAGCAGGTCAGCCCGGAGGGGGTGCAGCACCGAATGACATCCCACCTATCCAGGCCCTCTACATGGCCGCCGCCAGCCAGCTCCAATCCCCCATCACCGTCTCGGCCAAGGAGGAGGAGGACACGGATGAGAGCCTTCCGCCCAGCGGCAAGGACTGCTACGGCAACGAGAGGCAGACACTGGGCGATATGGCGCGCTTCTTCAACAATGCGCTGCTGAGTGACATCAAACTGCGGGTGGGCTTTGAGTGCTACAGCGCCCACAAGCTGATCCTGGTGCGGTCCAGTGAGGTCTTTGAGAGAATGTTCAGTTCGGAGTGGACGGACCCCAATAAGATGGTGAGTGGTTTACGCACTGCAGCAAATGACCCAAAGGCAAGATATGGCCAACTAACCAGTATCAATTTCCAGTGAGGTCTTTTAGAGAATGTTCCGTTCGGAGTGTACAGACTCCGATTTCATTTCCTAAGATGAAGAATATCATCATAGGTGCTGTGTATAAACCTCTGAAAATCAACCACATTGACTTTGCTCCAATGTGCCAAAGACTATTTGCTAGAATCAATTCCTCAACCAAAACTTGTCTTGTCTCTGATGACTTCAACATTAACTTACTTGATTATATGGCTTCCAATTCACAGGCTTTTGTTGATATTATTTCTTCTCATTCTTTATTACCACTAATTAATAAGCCTCCTAGAATAACTGAATCCTCAGCCACCATAATTGGTCATATTTTATCTAATGTGTTGCCATCACCAAATGTAGGCATTATCCTGTCTGATATCTGAGATCACTCACCAGTTTTCACGATTATGCCACTCAAGAAAACCTTCCTTTTGTCTAACATACACAATCATATTCGTATTCGTCATTTTACTTCTTCTAATACACAAAACCTCAAAGAAGATCTCCATACCACTGATTGGTCTCCTATAAGAACTTGTGAATATCCCAACCAAGCATTCAATTTATTTATGGACAATTTAACAATAATATTCTTCTGAAATGAGATAAACCTACATTTAGGACTAAGTGTAATTCTACTGCTCCCTGGATAACTAAACTTCTTCTCAAATCCATTAAAAAGAAAACTAAACTTTATCATTGTTTTATTGCTAATCTGACAATTGAACGAAAACTGAAATATACTAAGTACAAAAACATCTTAACCAGTCTTTTTTGGAGTTCTAAAAGCAATATTATGCTAATCAGTTTGAACAGGAAAAGAACAATATTCATAATACCTGGAAAGTCATCAACTCGATTTTAAACAATAAATTGCCCTCCCAGTCCATCAACAGAATTATCCATGAAGGCAAACTAATTGGTAATCCTTAACATATTTCCAATTGTTTCAATGACTACTTCGTCAATCTAGGTCCTAATCTTGCGAAACATATTCCTTGTTTTGCCGGAATCATTTACCAACTTTTTGAATGATCCTAACCCAAGATCTCTGTTTTTGAAGCCAGTAGATGAGAAAGAGGTGATTGATATCACCAAGAATCGAAAAAATAAAACTAGCACTGGGCTTGATTTAATTCGTTCCTCTATTATTAAAAAACTCTCACTTCAATTAGTAGGCCCATTGCTCATATAATTAATGTCTCATTTAAAACGGGACTAGTTCCTGATGCACTAAAAATTGCAAAGGTTAAAAATGGGAATGTTAATTCTGTCATTAACTACAGACCCATATCTATTCTGACTTGTTTGTCTGAGATCCTTGAAAAAAGTGTGTATACTCGTATTATCCATTTTTTTAATAAACATAATATCCTAACTGATTGTCAGTACGGTTTTCGAAGTCATTGCTCTACTACACAGGCTGTTCTCAACTTTGTCAACAAAGTAACAAATGCAATAGATAACTCTGAGTACACCCTAGGGGTATTCTTTGATCTTTCAAACCGTTTGATACCATTGACCATGATATCTTTCTATATAAACTCATTGTGGTGTATGTGGGGTAGCCCAGGAATGGCTCAGAGGTTATCTTTCAAATAGACAGCAATATGTTTCTGTTAGTGGCTTTAATTCAACTCGAATGACGCTAAAATGTGGGGTTCCACAGGGGTCAATATTGGGTCCGTTGCTTTTTCTGATCTATGTTAATGATTTTGTCACATCTTCCGATGTATTTTCATTCATCTTACCGGGTATTTGCTGATGACTCATTACACATATTGACTCTAAATTGACCTGGGTCAAACATATTGGCTACCTTTGTAAAATTATTGCAAGATATATAGGAGTTATCAACAGAATCTAACATTTTATTCCTCCTTTACATGTATCGGTAGTTTTAACTTCCCTTTACAATACTTACCATTATCTTAGTAATGGTATAAGATACAATGGTATAAGAATACAATGCATAGGGAGCATGCTCCCTTAGTAATCTTAATAGACTTTTCCTTTTACAAAAACAAGCCATTCGAATTGTCAACTTTACTGATTTTAATGCTCCTACTGATCCATTATTTTCCAAACATAAGTCGTTGAAAGTCAAAGACATTTACTTTCATCAGTTGGGATCCCTTGTGTATCAATTTGTTGCAGGTTCCTTGCCATCTTCAATTAATGTGCTTTTCACCAGGAATCTTGATGTTCATTCTCTTTATACTTGCCAAAGTGCAAATTTTCATCTGCCATTAATGCTTACATCTTTGGCAAAAAAACCCATCAGATACGAAGGACCAAGATTATGGAACTCTTTGAATGAGAATCTGAAAGCCTCGAAAAATTTACGAATCTTCAAACGGAACTTCAAAAAGATTATATTGAATGATTACCATTGGTAATTATTGACTGTGGAATTGATTAGCTTTATCTACTTGTCTAAAATCTTCCATCTTTGGACAGATTTTCTGGTTAAGATCTGGCACATTGCATCTGCTATTACAAACATGTTAACTTCCCTGCTGACATTTCTCGGCGTAGTCATGGGCCTTCACATTTAAGAGTGTTAACCTGCTGCGCAGCGTTTATCAAATGAATTGAAGCTTCATAGATTTACTCATAATGAATGTCATTATTTATAGAGGAGCCCCCAACTATGAGAAGGACCAAAAGCTTGGAGAGACTACAACTAGTTTGTAATCTCCAAACTTAGTGTTTCACCATGACGTGGACACCACTCCTCTGGTATTCTCAGTAATTGCGTGATTCATCCTCAAGGATCGGCAGTAAGGATATGAGATGGAATGTGACCACTGACCAGATACGAAATCTCCATCTGCCTAAGAGCTCACATGAAGCTCATTGTGGCTAGGATATTGCTTAAAGTTGGGGTTGGAGGTTAGGATTATTAGGCAGATGCATCTCTTGCCGTGATTGCACGATCTGAAGTAGAGGGGGAAAGTGAACAAAAATTTATAATAGTTTAGGAATGGGAAAACTTATTTCCCCAACACCTTCTCTGTGATTTATTTGCATTTGAGATTTGTCACTTTGTAGAATTGTTTGAACATACTGGATGTAGGTCATGGAACTTTCCATCTGTATAACTGACGATTTGCTCCGAGAACACAAAACAGATGGCTGCTGGTGTGTTGCATCTCCGGATGCAACTTTTTGCTGCATCATTGATCTGGCTGAGAGCCAGGTTTATCATTTGGTCATCTGGATGCTTCCAGCAGATGGCAATCATCCATTATTTTTAGAAATTAATGCATATATTTTCAAATGTATAGATACGTTTGAAACTTGCCAAATTTAAGTTCTCTTTTCTTTGTGTTAACATTCAAGGAGATACCGCATTCGGTTTAAAGGAAGTAAACCCTATTCTAGTTTCAAACACAGATTTCTGTGACAAATATTCAGGAGCATACTGGTACATGTACATGTATATGTACATTACATGTAGTTGTTCAGTTGACAGAGAAATGGTAGAACTGTACACATACACTGTTCAATTAGTGGTATGTGTACTGTACTTGCACTTTGTGTCATATTAGAATAGAGTACTGGAGTGAATGCGTCACGCGCACAATTAGTGTGTAAAAGGCATTAGCACGAGAAGCAGCGTGTGAACCAACACGCGCGCGTACTCCATTCGTTTGCACTGCACTTTCTGGTTCACAGTGACGTCACGCGCTTCATTAGTGTGTAAAAGGCGTTAGCGCGAGAAGCAGCGCGTGAACCAACACACGCGCGTACTCCATTTGTTTGCACTGCACTTTCTGGTTCACAGTGACGTCACACTTCGGTACTCTATTAGATACGTCTATGCGTACATGTATTTGTTTATGTACGTATTCTTCATGAATACAAATTCTGTACTTTGTTCTCAGTGCTGAATATGAAACCTATTGTACATGTGTGTACTGTACTTCACAGTTACAGAAGCAATTCCAACATTCAACATTTAATATTTACGTGAACAGTACCAGTATTGCTCAGGCATGCTCCTGCGCTGTTCTGTCTTTTTGAGAAATGGCTGAGATCAGCTTACAGCTCTTGGAAGCGACCAAAATCTCACAAACCCGTGTCCTCGATGATTGGGTCCATGACATCTTCAAGACTCCAGCATGGATAATAAGGCTAAACCATTGATCACATTTCCATCCTGGCTTGCTGTGGTGCTTGGTTCGTCCTTGCAGGTCAGGAATTCATCCTTGAAGATGATACTGAAGATAATGATCATGAGGATGAGTGGGAGGAAGGGGGGGTTTGAGAATCAGAGTAGGATGTTTCTCTTCTGTGTCACAGATTGGCTTTGTTCCAAAATGACAACGCACATACCGTATGCACACTGTTTCCGAAATTTGTATCCTTGTGGAGATTTGGCTTTGTTCTCCAGTACTAATTCGGTCTCATGTGAAACGATGTTTTCAAAGAAACGATGTTTTCAAAATGTTCCCATTTGAATCACTCACCAAACATGAATCACTCTCCTGCACTGAAATTTCGACCGAATGTCCCTTATATGAAACACTTCAATTTGCGACAGATTCTTACACATTAACAATTTCTCCTTTTTGAGCAATTTCCACATTTCAGTTTTATAAAATCCTTGTGGAGACCTACATGTATGCACCTTTAGAAATTGCTTGTGGAGACCTACATGTATGCACCTTTAGAAATTGCTTGTGGAGACCTACATGTATGCACCTTTAGAAATTGCTTGTGGAGACCTACATGTACATGTATGCACCTTTAGAAATTGCTTGTGGAGACCTACATGTATGCACCTTTAGAAATTGCTTGTGGAGACCTACATGTATGCACCTTTAGAAATTCCTTGTGGAGACCTATTCAAGCCATTCTTCTGGGTCTCCACAAGGCACCATACTTCGGCACAGTATACACGTACATGTACATGTACACACACTCCTAAATGTACTTGTATACACCAAGTATGATTGTCCTGTAGTAACCTTCACATTCAAAGAAACTTCTGACAGTAACTATTTCTACAACCATTTTTCTTTACTTTGTATATAAAAGTATAAAATACCACTAACTTTCTTATCTGCCAAAAGCAAGTGTGAGGACACAGAAATTACCGGCACATGTACGGTAAATTACAATAAATCCAACTGGTGTTCATGAATCATTCTGTCGAAGAACCCAGTACATTGTAATCTCCTTTTACATATATAAATAAAGTTTACTTTTTATAGATGCATTTAAAAAAAAAACAACAGTTAGTTTTGTCATGCATGTACATGTATCATTAAGCACTGTCATATTGCAGTCTAAGAGCTGTAAAAATTCAGAAGATTCCTTGGGTGGGACTCAAACTCATGACCTTCTGCCTAGTAGTGCAGTGCCTTCAACCACTCAACCACTGAACCTGCCATGAACCTGCCAAGATCAATCGGCTGGTTCAGTTAAAATCTGTCCACAACTTGGAGCCATTCTCTTATGATGAAAAATGAGCAGCAGGGAATCTGGTGAGAGCACGGCAACTTTAGGTCCATTTCCTGTTAAGTGGCCGTGCCTAGGAACTTGTATGCATGTTTATTATAGTCTTCTGATACTCAGTACGAATGTGCCGTGGATTTGAATACTACCAGTTTTTGCGAATTTCAGTGCGTGTACATACCAGTACTAGCATACATGTACATGTATGTAAATTGTACATGTTTACCTCATACTACTTACCACCTGCCCTCATTATGTGACTCTAGAGAACAGAGAGGAAATGATGAGTGTTCTTGTACATGTACATGTATGTGGACTGTCTTTCTTATTGGACATTAGTATGGGCTTCAAAACTCACTTTATTTCACACGGATTCATGAACGAATGTCTGTAGGGATGTTTAAATTTGTCCACACATCTTTTACAAGGTCGTAGTACTTTGGCAATCCTCTGGTTTGAAGTTGTAGAACATGTATATGATTTTATATAACCCACTGTTACCATGGTTACTGTAAGGATCACCTTGTGCTAATTTGATTTCCCTTGTACTTTGATGCAGGAAGTTGAGCTGGTTGAGGAACCG